TCTGAGAACAGTGTGTGATCTGGCAGGCGGCCATGTTTTTGTTTTCATCAGACCCTCCTGACATCTTGACCTACATGTAGCCCCGCCCCTCTGTCCACTCTGTTACATAAGCTCAGCCTCTCTGAGGGTCCGGCCACCTTTCAGTCAACAGTTTTAACTCAAAATCATCTGATGACGAGAATTCATGGTTCTGATCCGATCTAAAATACCCACAAACATCCTTGTGAAAAATGCAGTACTGATGCTGCCTTTAGCTTTTAGCTAACCTTTTAGCTATAGTTATGTAACTTTTAGCTTTTGGCTGAGCCTTTTGACACCTTTAGGAAAAGGTTTAGCCTTTGAAACGTTTAGATTTTAGCTCATTTCTACCACTTTTAGTAGGCCTTTTTTCTACCTTGGGCCTTTAGTATTTATTTAGCTACTATTAGCTTTTAGCTACAAGTATTACATTTAGGTTTCAGCAAGAGTTTTGCAACTTTTCCTGGTTTTAGCTAGCCTTTTAAAAGTTTAGATTTTAGGTAAAGTTTGCCTGTTTTTTAAATCTACCTTTGGATTTTAGTCTTTATTAGCTACTATTAGCTTTTAGCTAACATTTTAATGCCCTTCAATTTTCGCTGGAGATTTGCAACTTTTAATTTTTTACCAGTTTTATTACTCCTGGTTTTAGCTAGCCTTTTAAAAGTTTATATTTTAGCTAAATGTTTATTAGTTTTAGTATATTCTACCTTGGGCTTTTAGTATTTATTTAGCTACTTTTAGTTTTTAGCTAGAAGTATTACATTTAGGTTTCAGCTAGAGTTTTGCAACTTTTCCTGGTTTTAGCTAGCCTTTTAAAAGTTTAAATTTTAGGTAAAGTTTGCCTGTTTTTTAAATCTACCTTTGGATTTTAGTCTTTATTTAGCTACTATTAGCTTTTAGCTGCAGCCCCACTAAAATAGGCCTAGTGACGCCTCTGCTTCTGACATCCTTTTATAACGTGTTCTATGGTTTCATTTTGTCCACAGAACTCACATAAACTCTGTTTTCATGAGTGATTTGGTGGTTTAAAGCCTCACCTTCTCCCTGCTGCTGTGGGCTGTGACTGATCTCTGGGTGGCTCCTCTCAGGGCGGTCCGGTAGTTGTAGAAGTTGCTGGAAGGATCCATCTGGTGCTGCAGAGAAGAAACACCTCGTCAGTTTGGGTGCGGTCTAATTCCTGGCTGCTGTAGCAGCTTAATTATCACAAAGTGGAAAGTGGCGAAAAAGTGTTAAAACATTTGCTTTATTTGCATTTTGTCAAAATATAATGAATAAAAACATTATCTATGGACTGTTTAAATAAATTATCTGAAATATTCTTAAATATTTTTAGGCACATTTTTTGAGCAGTAAAAAATAAATCAGTTTTGAGTAGAAAAGCCTTACATTTCAACTTTTTTTCCAGATAAGTCTTAATTTCCAAATATTGTTGGAGGTTTCCTCTTTAAAACAACATCTTCATTAGAATAAACTAAAACTAGGATTCAGACCAAATATTCATGATTTCTCCTGATCAGAAGACAAATGAAGACATTCGTGTTGATCTGAATGTAGTTTAAAAAGCAGAAATCTGAAAACATCATTCTTGATTTAATGCTCGGTTTGAAGCGATCGCTCACATAAATATTTCATATTTAGCATAAAAAGGCTGCATTCATTAAAGAAATGCATCAATATCAGTGTTTTATAAGATCATCTGATGAGGAGAGAGTTCAGTTTAGCCTGTTTTCAGGATGGTTAGCTGTGGCGGCCATCTTGGATTGGTTTGACCCTAAAAGTTAATCTGTTATAGATGAAATCCAAGGATTATTTCCTACATAAACACAAACTGTTCCCACGTGTCGGAGGAATAAATCTCACCTCTAAGATGTCGAACTTTGCTGTTTTGACTTTGCTCCAGGTTTTTCTCAGCCGAGACACGGGGCTCATGTTCATCCCAGCTGCAAGGCAAAGACCACAGACATAATGAGGAAGATGGAAAACATCAACACATGGCCTTTTCCCCACAACACACACACACACAGGGACACACACAGACACACCCGCCCCTGACGCAGCGAGGCACAAGGACTCGGGAACAATGGCGTTAAACACACGCCTCGCTTCCCGCTTCCCACATGTTAATCCTCCTCTGTGAGCGCGGGGGTCACCGACACGACGGGACAAAAACACAAATCCAATAAGAGGAAGCTGAAGCTCTGCACCGAGCTGAGCTGAAAGCACCGCTCGGGTTTTAGCGCGTTAGCTCGGAGCCGCGGCGAATGAAGAGAAGGCCCACAGAGGCCGGTTCTGTCGAGGTCCGGAACGTGCCTGGCCTCGGAAAGTCCGTCTGAACAAAGCATCAGTGTGGAGGAACAGGTGTTAGCTGCGGCGCTAAAACACTCAGGCCTCCCTTTGATTTAACGTCTCATTCAGAGCGGGCAGGAGGCCGTCAGCGTTCACACAAACACGTTCTCACTAAATCAGCCGCCTCCAGACACCAAGTTCATCCTGACATCATGAACTCGGCTGAACCTGTTAGAGCAAGAAAATAAAACTAACAAAAATAACTAATCAGCTATTAAAATCATCAAAATTATTTACAAATAATAATAA